GAGTTAACTGCCCCGTGTTTGTTTAAAGAGGTCAGTGTAGCTTTAAGCCCGAGCCCCCTAACCGTGCACAGTTAAAGGGCCATGTTTGACTGTTTGGCGTTACGTGGGGAGGAGTTAAAGGTCTCGTGTTTGTTTTGACTATAGAGAATTTAAAGACCCCGGTGTAGAAGTAAGCCAGAGCCCTCTAGCCGGCCAAAGAAAGAGGCTGCCAGTGCCAGCCAGCTGTACCAGCGTTGCCAAAGTGCGGCAATTTCTTCTGCTATGCGTTAATTAAGGCTGTGGAAATGAAACGGCACATTTCATTTGGAAGTGTGGACGGATTATCGCAATACTTTCTACTTTTTATTTTCTTTTATCCTCTTCACCACTGAGCGGCTCGTTAGCCACTTGGGTGATCGGTCACGTCTCTGTCACGCACTGTTGGCAAGTACTGGGCATGCACCGGCTCCTGAATGTACCTGAACCTGCTCCAGTGCTTGTCAAGTCTTGTCTTGAAAGAGCTCACACTCGGTACCGTCACAACACTCTCTGGCAGATTATTTCAAGAGTTCACAATCTCACTCCTAAAAAGTTTGCCTCACAGTTTTCTGGACTTGCGGCTTCTTCAACCTTGACCTGTGACCCCTCGTGGGGCGAGAGTCCGCCAGCTCCAGGTAAGGGCACTAGACTGAGTAGTACCCTTTGAAATGTTTATACACATCAATTAGGTCCCCCCTTGCCCGTCTGCAGTATAAGCTAGGCAATTTCAGGCGCTCCAATCTCTCAGGGTAGCTGAGGTGCTGTAGTGCAGGCACCAGTCTGGTGGCCCTCCTTTGGACATTTTCAGTCAACTGACAGTCCTTAGCATATCTCGGGGACCAGACGGGGTAGCACTGCACTCTTGAAGAAATGAGGTAATATTACCGCATAATTTACATCAGGTAAGAGGTGCTATGATCTTATTGCTGCATTTATATTGTTCAACGTTATATTGTTCATTTACTTGTAATACACTCTTAACTCTCTCTATACTTTTATCCTCTTCGCCACTGATCGGCTTGTTAGCCGCTTGGGCGATCGGTCACGACTCTTTTCCTTTATATTCTTCACCAAAAGGTCGGCTCGCTAGCCGCCCGGGCGATCGGTCACGTCTCTGTCACGCACTGTTGGCAAATACTGGGCATGCACCGGCTCCTGAATGTACCTGAACCCGCTCCAGTGTTGGTCAAGTCTTCTCTTGAAAGAGCTCACACTCGGTGCCGTCACAACACTTTCTGGTAGATTGTTCCAAGAGTTTACAACCCTCACTCCGAAAAAGTTTGCCCTCACGGTTTTCCGGACTTGCGGCTTCTTCAATCTTGAGCTGTGACCCCTTGTGGGGCGAGCGTCCGCCAGCTCCAAGTAAGGACACTCAACTGAGTAGTGCCCCCTGAGATGCTTATAAACCTCAACTAGGTCCCCCCTTGCCCGTCTGTAGTATAAGCTAGGCAAGTTCAGGCGCTCCAATCTCGCAGGGTAGCTGAGATGCCGAAGTGCAGGCACCAGCTTGGTGGCCCTCCTTTGAACATTTTCAACCAACTGACAGTCCCTAGCATATCTCGGGGTGACAGTCCCTAGCATATCTCGTTTTACTCCCTCCCCCCACCTTCTTTTACACGACCTATCCCCCCCAGGCTTATTCTACCTGTGTTCTTGCAGATATCATTTGCAATGCCGCCAAAGCGTGAATTCCGAGAAGCATGGCTGCAGCATGAGGCGTTGAGAGAGGGTTGATGGCAGTCGTAAAAGGGCATACTGTACCGTTTGTCGTGTATTTATATCAGCTGAAATGTCTGCACTTAAGCGACACAAAACTTCTGCCTACCACATAAGAAACGCAGAGCAGCCAGTCATTGATAATGAAACTACGAGGAGAGGAACTGAAAATGAAACTTGAGACATGATTGGCAGAGCGGAAATAAAATTAGCTACATTTATGGCTGAGCACAACATATCCTTTAACACTGCGGATCATTTGGTTGATATACTGAAAGACATTTTCCAAGACTCTCAAATAGCACCACAAATTCAATGAAAAGATCTAAGGCAGGTTACATAATGAAGGATATAGCAAAGGTTTCACAGAATACATTGATAAATGATTTAAAGTCCAATAAATTTTCAATGATAAAAGATTAAACAACGGGCATAAGTACATCAAAGACGCGTGCTGTTGTTTGTAAATATTTTGATAAAGACATCACTACCATTACCACCAGACTCCTTGACCTACTATAAATTTACAAATCAAATGAGGCATCAGAGGGTTCTACAGGTGGCAATTTGTCCAAATTAATTATCAATTATTTAACAGAACATGGGATTCCTAATGATAATTTAGTAGGTTTTGCATCTGATAATGCAAGTAATATTATGGGGGCCCACAACTCTTTAGTAAATCGCCTAAAGATGATTCAACCTGTCAAAAGCGAGGTACCACAGGGCAGTGTATTGGGCCCGCTGTTGTTTGTTTCATGACATGCTTGACATTGTACACCCCTCCATACAAATGTTTGCCAATGACGCCAAGTTATTTCTGGAAATCAAGAACCTTGTGGACTGTGAAGATCTGCAGGAGGATCTCTGTGGGCTCCAAGAATGGTCGAAGAAATGGCTGCTGAGATTCAATGTCACGAAGTGGAAGAGGATGCATCTGGGGCGATCGGTCACGTCTCTGTTGCGCACTGTTGGCAAGTACTGGGCATGCACCGGCTCCTGAATGTACCTGAACCTACTCCAGTGTTGGTCAAGTCTTGCTTTGAAAGAGCTCACACTCGGTGCCGTCACAACACTTTCTAGTAGATTGTTCCAAGAGTTCACAACTCTCACTCCGAAAAGGTTCGTGATTTCCCGAAATTACTTGGCGTCATCGGCAAACATTTGTATGGAGGAGTGTACAACGTCAGGCATGTCATTAAAGAAACAAACAAACAACAGCGGGCCCAATATACTGCCCTGTGATACCCCGCTTATGACAGGTACGGATGATGATTTCGTGCCATTAATCACAACACACTGCTTGCGGTCATGTAGAAAGTCTTCTATCCGCGCTAGATACTGAACTGATTGATCCCGAACAAGAAGAAAACTTCCTGTCAATTGAAGAAGTGTATCTGGGTGCAGAAATGCACAAGTTACTACAAACGCCAGAATATTCATCAAATAAGGGAATGATTCATGACGCAGACAAGATGTGTAACGCTCCTGGCAACAGCATGCAGACAAATGAAGGTCAGGTTCCCCTTAGAGCCGAAAGTGGTGAAACATTGTTCGTCTTTATCTGTTGTCAAATGACTAAGCAGAAATTTACTCCTAGAAACGCCTACCTTGGTAGATCTCGTCAGTGAGATCCCTCGCATCTATAATGGAGACCATCAAAAGCTATATTATGAGTGGATGAGTTTAATTAATGTAGATCTTCCAAATGACTTAAAACAAACACAGAAACATTCTTCAAAGGACTCAATAACTTGAACAATGAAAATGATGAGCCAATATTCTCTGTTTTGCCCCAATTCGCCCTAGATCTACTTGCACTACCAACTTCAAATGCAGATGCGAAACGATTTTTTTCTAAAGTGGGCTCCAGGAATGGTCGAAGGAATGGCTGCTGAGATTCAATGTCCCGAAGTGTAAGAGGATGCACCTGGGGCGTACCAACGGTAAGGAGGCGTATCATATGTCCCAACGGGATGAAGAAAATGTACTAGTTGAGACTGTGTGTGAGAAGGACCTAGGTGTGTATGTTGACAATGAGCTGAAGTTCTCGGGCCATTGTGAGAAGAAGGTAAATCAGGCAAATAAATTATTGGGTCTTATAAGAAGGTCGTTCAGATATCTAGACGGTCCGTCCCTCGTGACGATCTTCAGGAGTGAAGTGCTTCCCCATCTGGAGTACTGTCACCCCATCTGGTCCCCGAGATATGCTAGGGACTGTCAGTTGGTTGAAAATGTTCAAAGGAGGGCCACCAAACTGGTGCCTGCACTTCGGCACCTCAGCTACCCTGAGAGATTGGAGCGCCTGAACTTGCCTAGCTTATACTACAGACGGGCAAGGGGGGACCTAGTTGAGGTTTATAAGCATCTCAGGGGGCACTACTCAGTTGAGTGTCCTTACTTGGAGCTGGCGGACGCTCGCCCCACAAGGGGTCACAGCTCAAGATTGAAGAAGCCGCAAGTCCAGAAAACCGTGAGGGCAAACTTTTTCGGAGTGAGGGTTGTAAACTCTTGGAACAATCTACCAGAGAGTGTTGTGACGGCACCGAGTGTGAGCTCTTTCAAGAGAAGACTTGACCAACACTGGAGCGGGTTCAGGTACATTCAGGAGCCGGTGCATGCCCAGTATTTGCCAACAGTGCGTGACAGAGACGTGACCGATCGCCCGGGCGGCTAGCGAGCCGACCTTTTGGTGAAGAATATAAAGGAAAAGAGACGTGACCGATCGCCCAAGCGGCTAACAAGCCGATCAGTGGCGAAGAGGATAAAAGTAAAAGTAAAAGTAAAGTAGGGCTAGTTAAAACAAAGATCAGAAACAAGATTCTGACTTCAACACAAGCAGAATTGGTTCAAGTATCTGAAACAACGAAGAAAAATGGTGGGTGTGTTAATTTCCAACCTTCTCCGTCAATGATAACATCTGTAAAACAACGTAGTGTGGTAACTGGAGAAGAAAATAGCATTGCAAATGTATAACATTTACATTATTGATCAATAATACCCTTACTTTCTTTTTATGAATAAATGTGTGTATAAATTTGACCTTTGCATTTTGTGTACTATTGATTAGAATAAATGTCTAATTACATTGGTTTTCAGTATTCCGAGTTACTTAAAATTTATTCATGGATTATTCAGTTATCCCGCAAAACCTTTTATTTTCTTTAATATAGCTGTCACAGAAAACGTGCGGTAATGCCAGTGCCGAAGAGGTGGCAACACTGAGCTGTACCCGCAACTCGCTTAAAGCTCCCTGACGTCACGTAATGAGTCTCGGCAGCAGCTCCAGTTTTATCGAATGGTGTTGAATGGTTGTGTGTGTTAGAGTCCATCGCTGGGACCCTAAAAAGAGGACATTTCCCTGTGTTTTGAGCCCATTTCCCTATGCACCGTCGGGTTCTAGCTATCAGGTGAGACAGGGCTAAAAGGCACCTGGTCAAATAACTAAGTAAATAAGGGCAATGTTCACGGGTAATATTAGAGTGAAAATATGCGAAGCAGCCGATCTAAGGTTGACCGACCGTATGACCCGCTATGTGGGTGTAGCAGGTGTAGGCAAGGCACAACAGGAACAGACTTTAGATCCGTATGTTAGTTTAGATTTAGATGAAGTACACTGGAATAAAACACAACCTAAACAGAAGACATTAACACCGGTTTGGAATGAATGGTTCGAGCAAGAGGTGGTGGGGGCCGTCCATCTCGGCTTCAAGATATTTCATGATTCGGCCGTCGGCAATGATGACTTTGTAGCCGATGTTAAAGTGCCCTTCGAAGAGCTCTGTGCCGATAACCAGACCCACGCCGATATCTGGGTGAGTAATGAAGGCTTTTTCAGTAATATAGTGCTATAAATTGTTTTATATCGGTAAAGATGGTTGGGTAAGGGAGGCTGGTGAGGTGCAATATATTGTGCCGATATTTTCCGATACCCAGACCTCCTGCCGATATTTGGGTGAGTTATGAAGGACTTTTGTATAATATAATGCCATTTAAATGTGTTTTATATCCGTAAAGATGGTTGGCATTGGGAGGCTGGTGGGGAGGTGCAGTGTATTGTGCCGATATCCTCACTCATTCCGATACCCAGACCTCATGCCGATATCTGGGTGAGTAATGAAGGGTATTTGTATAATATAGTGCCATTAAATGTGTTAAGATAAGGTTGGGAATGACTAAGGGTGGGAGACAGGTAGTGAGGGATTATGCCGATATTTTCATGTTGCTTAGATGAGATATTGTCTGTTATAAGATCATTAATAAAACTAGGAATATATTAACTTGATTGATAATGATGGTGATTTGTCATATATTGGGGGTATCTTGCTGTTAACTGTCAGTGTGCTGATATCGGGTCAAGTTAATCTTAAGTTTTGTGTACTGACACTGCCGTTGAATCTGTGTATTGATACAGCCGTTAAATCTGTGTATTGATACAGTCGTTAATCTGTGTATTGATACAGCCGTTAATCTGTGTATTGATACAGCCATTAAATCTGTGTATTGATACAGTCATTAATCTGTGTATTGATACAGTTGTTAATCTGTGTACTGATACAGTCGCTAATCTGTGTATTGATACAGTCGTTAATCTGTGTATTGATACAATCGTTAATCTATGTATTGATACAGTCGTTAATCTGTGTATTGATACAGTCGTTAATCTGTGTATTGATACAATCGTTAATCTGTGTATTGATACAATCGTTAATCTGTGTATTGATACAGTCGTTAATCTGTGTATTGATACAATCGTTAATCTATGTATTGATACAGTCGTTAATCTGTGTATTGATACAGTCGTTAATCTGTGTATTGATACAATCGTTAATCTGTGTATTGATACAATCGTTAATCTGTGTATTGATACAGTCGTTAATCTGTGTATTGATACAGTCGTTAATCTGTGTATTGATACAATCGTTAATCTGTGTATTGATACAATCGTTAATCTGTGTATTGATACAGTCGTTAATCTGTGTATTGATACAGTCGTTAATCTGTGTATTGATACAATCGTTAATCTGTGTATTGATACAGTCGTTAATCTGTGTATTGATACAGTCGTTAACCTGTGTATTGATACAGCCGTTAATCTGTGTATTGATACAGTCGTTAATCTGTATTTTGATGTAGCCGTTAATCTGTGTATTGAGACAGCTGTTGAATCTGTGTATTGATACAGCCGTTAAATCTGTGTATTGATACAATCGTTAATCTGTGTATTGATACAGCCGTTAAATCTGTGTATTGATACAGTCGTTAATCTGTGTATTGATACAGCCGTTAATCTGTGTATTGATACAGCCGTTAATCTGTGTATTGATACAGCCGTTAAATCTGTGTATTGATACAGTTGTTAATCTGTGTATTGATACAGCCGTTAATCTGTGTATTGATACAGTTGTTAATCTGTGTATTGATACAGTTGTTAATCTGTGTATTGATACAGCCGTTAAATCTGTGTATTAATACAGTCGTTAATCTGTGTATTGATACAGCTGTTAAATCTGTGTATTGATACAGCCGTTAAATCTGCGTATTGATACAGTCGTTAATCTGTGTATTGATACAGCTGTTAAATCTGTGTATTGATACAGTCGTTAATCTGTGTATTGATACAGTCGTTAAATATGTGTATTGCTACTGTCGTTAATCTGTGTATTGATACAGTTGTTAATCTGTGTATTGATACAGTCGTTAATCTGTGTATTGATACAGTCGTTAAATCTGTGTATTGATACAGTCGTTAATCTGTGTATTGATACAGCTGTTAAATCTGTGTACTGACACTGCCGTTGAATCTGTGTATTGATACAGTCGTTAAATCTGTGTATTGATACAGTCGTTAATCTGTGTATTGATACAGCCGTTAAATCTGTGTATTGATACAGTCGTTAATCTGTGTATCGATACAGCCGTTAAATCTGTGTATTGATACAGTCGTTAATCTGTGTATTGATACAGTCGTTAAATTTGTGTATTGATACAGTCGTTAATCTCTGTATTGATACAGTCGTTAATCTGTGTATTGATACAGCCGTTAAATCTGTGTATTGATATAGCTGTTAAATCTGTGTATTGATACAGTCGTTAATCTGTGTATTGATACAGTCGTTAAATTTGTGTATTGATACAGTCGTTAAATTTGTGTATTGCTACAGTCGTTAATCTGTGTATTGATACAGTCGTTAAATCTGTGTATTGATACAGCCGTTAATATGTGTATTGATACAGCCATTAAATCTGTGTATTGATACAGCCGTTAATCTGTGTTTTGATACAACCGTTAAATCTGTGCACAGACACTGCCGTTGAATCTGTGTATTGATACAGCCGATAAATCTGTGTATTGATACAGTCGTTAAATCTGTGTTTTGATACAGCCATTAATCTGTGAATTGATACAGCCGTTAAATCTGTGTATTGATACAGTCGTTAATCTGTGTATTGATACAGTCGTTAATCTGTGTATTGATACAGTCATTAAATCTGTGTATTGATACAGCCGTTAAATCTGTGTATTGATACAGCCGTTAAATCTGTGTACAGTATTGATACAGTCGTTAATCTGTATTGATACAGTCGTTAAATTTGTGTATTGATACAGCCGTTCAATCTGTGTATTGATACAGTCGTTAACCTGTGTATTGATACAGTCGTTAAATCTGTGTATTGATACAGTCGTTAAATCTGTGTATTGATACAGCCATTAAATCTGTGTACTGATATATTGTAGTTGGTAATCTGTGTATTGATACAGTAGTTAATCTGTGTATTGATACAGCTGTTAAATATAAAGATATCGAAGGACAATTCCGGATTTGTCGTGTAGCGATACTGGAGGGAAGGTGTGTAGTACAGTACAGTATATACGTATATATATACAGTATGCTGATATCCAGACTTTTGCCGATATTTTCTTTGTTTCATTAACCAATAAATCTAAATATATATCAAATTAACCTTGAAGATGGTGGATAATTTATCATCTACAGCACTGTACTAAAGCAAGAGTGTGAGGATGTCCAGATATTGTATGTCAATATCCGCACCTTTCCTGATATCCAGGTGATGCGCTTCTGCTCTTTGTTTCGTTAAATCATCAATAATACTGGTTAGTGTAGGTCAGTTTTGGGGTAGGTTAGGTTGATTGGGTTAAATTAGATCAACCAGCTTAATTAGTATATATCATACTGTACATACACAATTGATTGTCTAAGAAATTATTCAGAAAGGTTTCAAGAGACGAAAAATATGTCACTAATGACAAAATCACGAAAAAATAAACACAACATTTACCTTATGCTACTGTCAATTTGTCTTTGATAGTCTGGTCACAGATGTCTTTCCTGTACGACTTTTTGTTGACAACTAACAAACACAAATAATTCTGGAGATTTCTGGTGTCTTGTAGTAAATTTATGGAAAAGTTACCCTGAAATAGGTCATCTAGATTTAACCACTTCACTACAGGGAATATTTGGTTAATGTCAGATGATGATACTGATTGGATACCATACACAAGGGGTTAATAGACTACAGGTATCTCCACTAACCCCTTCACTACGGGGACAACACTTTTAATATTTTATTTGGTTAATGCCAGACGATTTTATTCAGCACAGAGGGGATCCCTTACACAAGAGCTTGATAGGGAGCTGGACTGCAACTTAATATTACTAACAAAACAAAAACAAAAATACTGTAATGCATTATCTATCATTCTGTCTGTCACAAATTACACACGCACACTAACCCCTGTCGACTTTTTCAATAAACCGTTAATTATTATTATTATTATTACACTACATCCTTGACCATCGGAGGGTCAAGACCTATCAGGCGCTGCTCCTGCTACACAGCTGCCCCCCTTGGCCAATGTTGGCCCATTCCTCAAGTCCCTCTCCCCGACCCATCCTCACCACCGGGATATCAACCTAATCCCGTCAAAAGTGAAAATTTTGTTTCAGAAAGAATTGGGATCAGTGCTGAACAGTGATGGATAGTGTTTAAGCCAGTGAATTCAGCATTAGACAGCACCAGTGAGATAAGCACCCCTGGGAACCAACCACCATCTTCTGACCAGGCAGTGTTAATCAGTCTACCCTGGGAACAACAGTGGACCGGCTTTATACCTGACTAAGAGATAACACAACGCCACCTAGCTGAGTGAGGTACTGTGACACCACCCTACACCACCCGGTGTCTCCATGACCATGTGAGGTCCTTCATATCAACACCCAAGGACAAGTCACTACACCATGTGAACACCTCACCACCCGGTGTCTCCATGACCATGTGAGGTTCTTCATATCAACACCCGAGGACAAGATACTGTACCAAGTGAACACCACACCACCTGATGTCTCCATGACCACGTGAGGTCCTTCACCTATGGACCAGTCACTACACCATGTGGCCTACGTGACCTCACACAGGAGGGCAAGAGACCACCCTGAGCCATTAACTGTAAACTATAATTGTAGGTTATGTATCTAAGCTACTGTGCCGAGTAGCAACCCTGTATATAAGCTACTGTGCCGAGTAGCATTTATATATATAATCACGTGGCAACACTGCACGTTATGTGGGCAACATTGCCCCGAGGCTGCCATATGGCAAGGCAGTCTCAGTCTGACTGTGTGAGCCGTGCATGGCACACGCTAGTCACCACTTGTATTTCTCCTATCCTTTAATAAACGGACTTCAGTGTTACCCGGTGTTTCCCTACCCATCACTGCATTCTTCAGGGAACACTTGGAACCTTCAATAATAATCTGTATGTTCAATTCATGTACCTTCTCGTTTTAGG